AGAAAAGCATCGGAAATGCAATGGAACAGTAATAATACCGCAATTATGCCAAATATTCCATATCCTTCTTCTTCTTTATCCCCTTTTTCTTCTTTTCCGCAAAGAAGAAGAAGAAGAAGACATATACCGTTTTTGATCATATTCGGACTATTTGGGGTAAAGAAGAAAGAAGAAATTCTCGGAAATTGGTAGTATACTACTGTACTACCAGAAGAAGAAGAAGAAGGATTTCCCGGTTTCCTCCCGCATATCATCTTATCTCTCGAGAACTTTCTTCTATATATTGTTGGCGATAAAAAGATATTATAACTGGTTGTTGGTGGGGTCTCTGTCTGTTATCAATTCAAAAGGATGGATTGGTGAGAAGGGATTTTGAAAAAACGGGGGTTTTTTGGGTCATTTGAAGCTCAAAAACAGTTTCGGACAGTGAAAAAAGCATACCGTAAAACCTAGGGCTCCCGCAAAGTCAAGTTTGAGCTCGATTATCTCGGTTACTGTAGAAGATATCAAAAAGTGACCAACTGATAAAATGTTACTGATATTATGATAAGCATTTTATCAGTTGACACATTTTTGATCCATGATTTTATGGGATTTACATACTTTTTTAAAAAACTTAAAAATTTCGTATTTTCCTCCTTTTTTATGCCTAATTGCCCCCATCTCCCTATAGGGGGCACCTAATAAGGGGGTGGCCTAGGATTTGGAATTTCCTAGGCCATGTGGCGGGAGGGGGACCATTCAAATGAGGTGGTGGACCACCTATTGATTGGTACCTATCGGTTTTTTCCTTTTTTTTCTCTTTTTTCTGTATTTTTAAGAAATGCGCCTTTAAAGACACGCAGACACCACGCTCCTCCTCCTGCTGGGTTTAAAGGCGCATACCTCAAAAACTACAGTAGCTAGAAACATACAGTAAATTGTAAAAAAATAGTTAATTTAATTTTACACATTTTTGTAGTTAAACATTTTAATCTAGCTACAGTAGTTTTGAGCTATGCGCCTTTAAACCAAAGAAGGCCATTCGGAGAGGGCGGCGAGGAAGGTGTCTTGTCTTTAAAGGCTCATATCTCAAAAACTACGGTAGGTAGAAAAATATTGTCAACATTTTTATAGTTTATAGCTTCTTTCTAGCTACTGTAGTTTTTAAGCTAAGCTATGCGCCTTTAAAGAAAGGTCACCCTTCTCGCCCTCCTCTCCTGTAGGACAAAGGGCTGCCTTCATTTAAAGGCGCATATCTCAAAAACTACTGTAGCTAGGGAAAAGCTGTAAATTACAAAAACTTAGGAAATTTGATTTAACTTATTTTCCCAATTTAATATTTTAACCTAGCTACCATAGTTTTTGAGCTATGCGCCTTTAAAGACAGGACACCTTCCTCGCCGCCCTCTCCGATAGCGCATCTTTGGTTTAAAGACACATATCTCAAAAACTACTGTAGCTAGAAAAATGTTGCTGACTGCAAAAATACAGGAAATTTAATTTTATACATTTTTATAACTTACAACTATTTTCTAGCTACTGTAGTTTTTGAGTTATTCGCCTTTCAAGAGAGAGCACCCTCCTTTTAGGACAAAGAGGCTGCTTTCTTTTAAAGGCGCATATCTCAAAAACTACTGTAGCTAGTAAGTAAATTTTTTGAGAAAATGTAGGAGATTTAATTTTACGCATTTTCACAGTTTACGAAATTTATCTAGCTACTGTAGTTTTTGAGTTATGCGCCTTTAAATAGAGGGCACCCACCTCTTCTCACATTGCTAGGGCTGGCTGTGTTTAAAGGCGCAAATCTCTTTTTTTCCAGAATTTTCGAATCATGCTAAAAATGAGCAATCGATTTAACGTTCCCCATCTCCCATCCGTCATCATGAGACATCTTTTCGAAATCATTGGACCATCGGAAATTTTCCTTCTTTGCCTATTTCTTCCGAAATTCCGCCAAATTGCTCAGACCGTAAAATGGTTCGACAACAAGTACATTTTGGTGGATTACTGTAGTTATGGAAAAGAGGCAGTACTGTACATGAAATATGGTCCTAACGACGAAAAAATCCCGATTCTCCGATGGACATTCCAAAATCGAGAGTGCCATTTTTTGAAGAAACGAAAGATAGATGGAAGAAAGTTCCGGTGCTGGTAAGTGAGCAGTGGGGCGCGTTTGCGTTTCAACTATAAAAAATTTGAAAATAGCAGGTTAAGAGCTTCAAAATTAGTATAAATATGACTATAGTCAAATATAAAAAGCTCTGAAAAATTTGAAAATTTCAGACTGTCTGTTTTTTGTTCCAATTTTTGTAAAAGTTTTAATTTTCAAGCCCAAAATTGGAATTGTTTAAGTTTTGGTTATCATAACCGAATCGGGCGTGTTCCTAGCTTCAGAATGAGCCTAAACACGATTAGGCTCCGCCCACTTTCAATTTCTGGGCGCGTCGCGGGCGCAAAGTTAAAACTCAAAGTGGGCGGAGCATAGTCGTGTTTAGGCTCGTTTCCAAGCTCAAAACAATCCAAAGACAGATAACAGACTCAAATTTCAAAATTTCTAGTCTTAAACTAAAAAATTGAAAATCAAAACTTTTGTTCAAAAAAAATTTTTTTTTAATTTCGAAAATTTTGATTTTGAGATTTTCAGTGTAGAATCATTCGAAAACAATTACTTTTAACGTATTTGTCACATCATGAGCTTCAAAATGAGCCCGAAAACGACTAGGCTCCGCCCACTTTGATTTTTCCGGCGCGAAAAAGTCGTTTTTTTTGAAAATTT